TGTCAGATAAAGTGCGTGTGGATAACTAGAGTGGAACGGAGGTTTGCTGAAAGTCGGCGGTGGTACGGGGATGCGTGTGTCTTCAGCGCAGTGTTGAGCAGAATCCTGAGCACGCAGGTTTTCTTCAGTGGCGTCTCTGTGGAACCTGTACTCACAGGTAACGGGTCTACTGTAGAGTGGCCCTTTGTGTGAGAAGTGTTCACTCTGCCAGGGAATCTATTTCACCCTCTCCACACACACCCCCCCCCCCAGTAGCTCTAGCTCCAGGCTAGCACTTCACCACTTGAGCCACAGCTTCACTTCTGTCCCAGGAATCTGAATAGGCACAGGAATTGCAGATGCCTCTCACCCCAATCCCATACACAAGGGTTCCTTCACCTTAGGGGCAGAGCCTCTGTGTAGAGTGGCTCTTGTGTCACATTGGAGATGGCTGAGCACCATCAGAAGTGTTGGGTGTACCATGTCCGGCACAGCCACTCACCAGTGCTGTACAGTGGGGTTCGCCTTTCACTCTGCCCCCATTTACAGCGGCTTCTGGTTGTATTACAGGAAGCCAACCTTTCTCCTACTACATCCTACAGAGCCATAATGTCCCGCCTCCCTCCAGCCTTCCTCCTGTCCCTCTCCCAGGTTTCCAAGGCCAGCTCTTCATCCGGGGTCTGCCCATATGTACACTACATAAGTAACAGCACACACAAAAGAAAGAGGTGACAGGTCACAGCAAAAGCAAAGGACAGGAGTAACCAGAGATCTCAACCCGCCTGCAGCCTTCATCCGCGCCCTGAACAGGGATCCCAGCCCTGTCTGCCCACGCTGCCCATGTGTTCCCTAGATTTATACCTCCAATTCCAGAGTTGGGGGAGAAAAGGGTGGTGTTGTTTCAGGCCAAGTTATTTTATTTTATTTTATTTTGGTCGGTTGTGGGGCTTGAACTCTGGGCCTGGGTGCTGTCCCTCAGCTCTTCAGCTCAAGGCGAGCGCTCTACCACTTGAGCTACAGCGCCACTTC